GGAATGCAATGAGAATCACTAGTATTAATTGCAGTTAATAATGGTGAGACAAAACCGCCAGGTAATACTGCGTCTTTATTGTTTCCAACCTCTGAGTTGCTTTAAACAAAGCAACTTTTTTTTTTCTTTTTATCCTTGTATGGTGTTTGTTGGTTTTGTTGCACTGGGAGATGGAATTGTGAATCCAGGAGGTGGCCTGTGTAGAAATTGCAGTGCTTTAAAGGTATTAAATTCCATGGTGTTTCTGAAGCTCTTGGTTTGAGGGCTGTTGCATATCAGATGTCCATGGGACTACCCTGAGAGCTCTCTGGCTTGAATATGTAGTGAGTTGTGAGGAAGGCTGAGGATGGGCTGGAAACTCGTCCTTTAAAAGCCTTTAGTTGAGACCTGGTTCTCCTGTTACACTTTTCTCTAATCTCTCAGTTGTCGTTGAAAGCATCTCTGCTTTGTTTTTCAGTGGATGGAATTGACCCTAATTTTAAAATGGAGCATCAGAGTAAGAGAACCCCTCTCCATGCTGCCGCCGAGTCTGGCCACGTGGACATCTGCCATATGCTCATTCAGGTCTGTCTCCACTTACATCCTTCTCCAAGCAATTTTCTGTGAGTTTTGGTCTCCTGCTCCACATGGCTGAAGTACACTGGGAAATGAGCACTGAAACATCCCTCCTATAATCAACCATCTCGTTCTCAGGGTTTGCTGAGGGAGGGGTGGTGGAGAGTAATGTGGGGTCTTAGAGGACGTGAGCGAAGCTGTCTTTCTAGGCTGTTCTCCAAGCAAGATCTACCGTCAGGGCAATGAGCATGTGAAAAAGCTTCGATGTCGGGCAGCGGGAACCTATATATGCCCAAGCACACCGCGCAGAGCAGTGCCCTGCCAGGTGTGCCAGCACAGGCTGACCGCTGGCAGACTGCAGGTGGTCTGCAAGCTGCTGCCCAGCTGCTCTCTGTAATGAGGGCAGGCAGGCTCTGGAGCCTGGAAGCCTAGCAGGCCCTGTCTTCCTTTCTGTCAAAACCTGGTATCTCCAGCAGGATTTTCCTCGACAGTGTAAATGTCCCTCATGTGAAAAGGAGAGAAGAAAAGATGCAACTTTGGCTTATTGCTTGACGTGCGGATTCTAATTGAGGGAATATGGTCAGAGACATGGGGGTGCTCTTGTTGAACCCACTCCAAAATGATGTGAAGAAAAAAAAGATTTTAAAAGTTATAGTTTTTCTTTTTGATACTGGCATCCATCATCTGGAGTGACTGGAAGTATGGGGTTTTTACCCTGTGTGACTGGGAAACCTGAAAGGGCTTTTGAGAAAGCAGCAGTGCCACGGCGTTGAAAACGAGCCTGCTGGGATGTTGCATTTCAGCATCTGGAGTCAGAGGCTTTCAAAGTGCTGTTTGAAGGTGCAGCTACAGGCCTACCCTGCTGCTCTCACTCACTTAAATTACTGCTTGGGAAGACAACGGAGTGAGAAAAAGGAGCAAAATTTGCAAGACACTACAAACAATTTGAATTGAGTATCAGTAGGGTTGGTTTGTTTCCAGAATCCTTCATCTTCTTGTCTCTTCCCTGATGTCTGGCTACTGCAGTAGCACAGTGTTTGGCTGGGAACGTCCCCAGCTTGTGAAACTTGAAATGCCTCTTCTCTGGTCTGGTTTAAATAGCTCTAACTATTTACAGGTAATCAAAACAAATACATTCAGTGGGAGGCACCTGGAGGCGGTGGGGCCAACTTCTGCTGCCAGGTGAACCTGAGTCAGCGTGTTGCTGCTGTAACCAGACCTGTGCTTTGCGTGTATATAAGCACGTGTGGCCTGCCAGGCATTGTGCTGTCTCTGAGGTTTTCTTTTGGTTTAAACACCAGGTGACTTACTGAGCTAAGCCAAAGAGTTAAAGCAGGCAAGATACATGACACAGTAGTGTCTTGGAAAAAAGTCACATTTTGGTCCAAGGCACTCCGTGTTGAACTGAACGTATGCTCAGAGACCGCTGTGAACTTCAACAGGAATAGTTAGCCAATCTCCAGAGCTTTTTACAGCTCCTACCTCTTGCAATCAGCAAGTTGTTCCTGCTGCTTGTGACATTGGGAAGAGCTGGCTGTTTTGTTCATTGTGTCCATAGAAATGACAGACCGAAAACAAAGCTGCTGGAAAAAGGAGGAGACCGATTTTTCCAAATCATTACACAAACAATATGCAGGAAGTAACAGTACAAAATGTATTAATAACCAGAAGTTATTTAATACCAGCTGTTGGCTTCCTTATGCCCCAGCTACTGGCTGGAGAAGGCAGGAGAGAAGGCAGGCAGTACTTGCTGCTTTCCAAAACAGGTGAAGTTGGACTGCCTTCAAAACTTGCTCCTACGTCTCTACTCCCACATCATTCCTGTGCTAACCAGTAATGGTTGTAATTGTCCTTGTGTTTGCCTTGGCCTCTTAACAGGCTGGTGCTAATATAGACACCTGCTCTGAAGACCAGAGGACCCCACTGATGGAAGCAGCAGAAAACAACCATCTGGAAACTGTGAAATACCTTATCAAGGCTGGAGCACTAGTAGATCCTAAGGTAGCAGTTTATTCCGTATCTTTTTCTCCTGAAGAAGCCTCTGTCCACCATTTCTTTCTTGATAGGTGGAAGTGCACAGGCAGAGGGGAGACAGACTTGCTTGTTTCGGGTGCAAAGGCTTGGCAAGGCCGTGCTTATCAGTAGTATCATTTTAATGATGCAGTGTCCTGGCTGTGAGCAGGCTGGGGCAAGTGCTGCCACTTGCTGCACTGGTTTGTGGCACCAAACATAGGGGGTATGTAATTTCATACGGGGCGACTAAGCGTTAGTGCCATCAGTCCATCGCAGTGAATGTGGAGTTTGATTTCAGAGTTTCCTTCTCTGTAGGCTCTAATAACGAGACTTTGGAGATGACATTGTGAAATGGGCTGATAATGAGGTGCTTGCCAAGCCAGCGAAAATGACAGAGGAAGCTTTGCTTTCCAAAGGCCTGATGGGTGGTTTCTTGCAGTCACGCCGCAGTGGCAAAATTGGACCCTGTCTTTAAACTCTACCCTTTAATTTAAACAAATAACAATGAAATGCAGCTGTCTGTTTGCCTTTAGCACGCTCTGGTTACTTTGCAGTCTTGGAAAATATACAAATCGTTTATCAGTCCCATAAATCAGATGCTATTTGGAGCACAGGAGCCTTCCCCACGTGAACTTATTGTCACAACCTGCTGCTGTTGGTGCGCTCCTCCGCTATTGCTGGGGAGCACGGCAGGGCCGGGACGCTCTTTTTGCGAAGGAGCTGGCAGGGCCAGGAGGATTCCACAAGATACCAAGGGCTGCCCACCCCGAGCCTTGAAGGGATCCCTGGGAGCCTGGTTCTGAGCCGAGAAGGGAGAAAGGACAAGACAGGCACGTGTGGGTCCATGCTGACCATTGTCCTGAGTGTCTTGGAGCAATCCAGATGTCTCTCACCTGGTTTATTCATGTGTAGGAGAAAAGAGGATTTTTACTTTTAAAAGTAAAGGGAAGGAAAAAAATCCTGAACTTGCAAAAGCGAATTAGAAGCCTGAGATCATGTCTGAAGTCTAGACTAGTTTATTATGTTAATTAGTTTCTTGCACCAAATTACTCATCTTTTTGAAAGCAGCAACATTGCAGTTTAAACTCATCTCCAGCCATTTGGATGAGAAATCGGGACATTAAGTGCTGCGGGTGTGCGCTGAGCCGGCCCGGCCCGGCGCTGCGGGACTGCTGGATGGAGAGGATGCTGAGGGCAGAGGTGGGGTGGGTGGATGGGGGCTTCTCAGACCCCAGGACGAAGCTCTTGATCCTGTTAATAGGATGTAAAAACCCCACTCAAAACCTGCAGAAACTGCATGTTAAAATACACCTGATCTCCGTAGGGTTGAGTAGCAGCACTTGGCTCGTACTAATCTAAGGGGAAAGCTGTGGCATTAGTCAGATGTGGCAGATGCTTTTGGGCAGTAGAAACCCCTTCTTTGCCCCAAGAGCCCACACAGCGTAATCCCTGACCTGAGATGTCCCATCCTTGCTCAGAGGGCTGCTCCCTAGCCCTGTGCTCTGTTCTCCACTTGACACCATCCAAAAGCTCTCGCCTCTGGTGTTGCTTCCAAGGGCTTAGCAGGAAGGGGTCATTTTGGTTTTTCAGTCTTTTCATTTCCTCCTCCCCATTTCCTGGTCTCTGGGCCTTGCTATGTGCTAAACTCTTGGGATATAAATGCCTGATAAAAATCAGGCTGCAGCCAAGATCTTTGGTGTTAGTGTGGGAGTGTCTGTGTCGTGACGCACAGCCTGTCCATCTCTACCAGACCCTGTATTTGCAGCTCCCAAAGGCGTTTTTCCTTTCAACTTTCATGGTCGTTTTTTATCTACTTTCTCAGCAGATGGCTGTGGGCACGCTGGGGACTTGGTCTCATGGGAGGCTTCTAGCTCCGTGCAGAACACCCCTTTGCCCTGCTGCCAGGTGCTGGGATAAGGCCTTGTGCTAATAAAACACGGCAAAAAAGTTGTGTAACCGGAGCATTTTGGGTTGAGACATGACTGTGTTCCTAATGTAAAGTGCAAGCTCTGCCTCTGTAAGGGATTTCTGCCTCCCCTTGGCTCTCCAGCACATGGAGAAGAGTTGGAGAGGGTCTGTTGGGGAAGTGGAGCATCAGTCTGGCAGAGTTCAGGGCTGGTGCCATCCCTAGGCTTTACAAAGGTGTCTGTTCTGTAGCCTTTGCGCTCTCAGCCTCCTGTTCTGCACAGGTTGCACCTCGGAGCTTTGTGTGAAGCTCCCTCTGCTCCATGCCGGAGTTAGTTGCTGCTCTTCTCTCCCCTCCTGGCAGCGAGCCGGGGCCTTTTGGAGTCCTCTGCTCCATCCGTGAACTTCTCTGCTGTTCCTAAGTATTGCTGGTATCATGCAGACATGGAAAATGCTGGGGAGGGATGTCCCCTGAGCTCTTGTTCTGTGGTTGTGTCCAGGATGCGGAGGGCTCCACGTGTCTGCACTTGGCTGCCAAGAAGGGGCACTACGACGTTGTTCAGTACCTCCTCTCCAACGGGAAGATGGATGTCAACTGCCAGGTGAGGCCTTTCTGCGAGGGGCAGAAGCTGCGTTTCAGGGACCCAAGTCTCAGCAGCGTGCTGTCTTGGACAGTCGTCAAGCAAATATAGTCTTGCTGCTGAGGGACACCTGAAAAACAATATGAGGTGACAGTGCTGCGGGCGTCCGGGTCTGCCCGAGAAGACGATCCTCTCCACTGACCTCACAGAAACTTTCCTACCTTCTGTCTTGATTTGCAGTTTCTCCTTGACCCTGAATTTGCTGGTGGAGCCTGTTTCTCAAGGGTGCCAATGTTCTCCTGCTAGCAGGGGGGGTGGTGGGATCATGGACGTGCTGTGGGATGCGTCAAGTCTGGCACTTGCCATCGCAGAGCTTCTCCGTTGCTGTAGAGTGAGGCAGCGCTGCATCGGTGTTCCTTGTTCTGGGAGAAGGCCAGCTCTCCCAGGCTGCTCACGGAGCTTTTCTAAGAGCTTTTTACACAAGCTGGGTGTTTGTTATGCCTTTTGGACAGTGACCTGTATTTGAACGCCCTGGAGATCCATTGCCAGTGTGCTGAGCTGCAAATAAACTCCAGCCTGCTGAGGTGTGGAGGTCGGAATCACACTGGGCTCTGCAGGACCCTGAGGGACCTCTCCCTGCAGTAGCGTAGACCGAAGGAGAGATGAGACAGATGTGGGAGGGGAAGGGGTGTGTGGCTCCCAGGCAAGGTGCACCCTGCTACGGCTGCCAAGGGGTTTGTGAAGCTGGCAGGAGACTGTCTCGCCTGTTGTGCGTGTCTCACCCTTTCCTTTCCCTCCCCAGGACGACGGAGGCTGGACGCCGATGATCTGGGCCACCGAGTACAAGCATATCGAGCTGGTGAAGCTGCTGCTTGCGAAAGGGTCAGACATCAACATCCGTGACAATGTAAGGTTCTTCCTGGAATCTGTTTCAGAAATTAATCACAATCTCTTTAAAAACCAAACAAGCCCAAGGAGGCAGATTTTGGACTCAGCGCGGGGAGATGCGTTGGTCCCTTGACACAGGTGATTTGGGGCAGGTTCTGGTGGGAGAATTTTCCTCCATGTTCTCGGAAGAAGTTTACAAGCTGGCAAGAAGTCCTTTTCCACCAGCTCTTCTGACGTAGCCCGTAAGGATGCTGTATGCCATGCTACAGCCTGTCGTCAGCTCTGTGCCTTCTAATCCACCTGGGTCCACTGTGCTGCCTCTTGGACACTGCACCAGGCAGATCCCCCTCGAGTCCAGACTTACAGCTCCATGTTGGTAATGGGCCAGTGTGCATTGAGCATGGCTTAGGGGCATCCTGCATGCCTTTTGGGGGGCACAAGCTCGTACTCTTGTTTTCCGGATGGACTGGGCAGATGCTCTGCCAATATCACAAGCCTGGCTTTTCCCAGGCATAAGAGCCTCGAGTGGAGAGAGCAGCTCAGTGTGCTGGAGCTGGCTCTTAGTCTGCTCTTCATCTCCGTAAATCCTACTCGACATACTCTGTACTTGAGGGAGTCTGACTCCAGGTGGAGTACCTGGGAGCTCCACGGGCCCGGCAGCTCTGCATGTTGGCCTGTGCCGGCTGGTTTTGTGGGGGTTTTCGAGTACGTAGAGAAGATGCAAGAGAGATGACTAGGGGAACAAGGAGAGAGCATCCAGGCTTCTGTTCAGGAGACTCACTGTATCAGCTCTGCTCCTTTTCTTTCCTAATTGTGTGTTTCTCATTTTTTCCGTTCTGTCTCCAAGAAGAAGCCTTAGAATCATAGGATGGTTGGAAAGGACCTCAAAGATCATCTAGTTCCAACCCCCTTGCCATGGGCAGGGACACCCTGCACCACGCCAGGTTGCTAGAGAGGTTGAAAACCTCTGATTGAAACCCCAGAAGTACCTGCAAGGCAAGCTTGGATGTGAACTGGGGTGCTTTGGCTTGTAGATTTGAGATAGTTTGATAAATGGGAGGTAACTGGCTTCACTGCTTTCTGCAGAGGTGTTACAGCAAAGTTCTTACCCTGCCATCAGCTCACCCTCTAGCATGCCTCATGGTATTTTCTTCTTCAAGGCCTCCAGTGCTCTTCTGAATCCAAGGGATATAAGCAACTGATTTGTATTTGTCTCCCAAATACCTCATTTTGTGTCTTGGGTGCAAGCAGGGGTAGATGTTGACATGGTTGTCTCTTGGGCCTCAGAAAGGAGGAGGATTTCCTGAGGAGTTGCCATCCCCAGTCTGAAAGCTCCTTCTCAATAGGAGCCTGTGTTTCCTTGGTAGCTTAGATAGTTCCCAGGCAGGTCCGGATCTCATACTGTCCCTCAAAGCAAAATTCAAGGCGAGCGAGGGGGCTTTTTGGGTTGTTGCATTGCTTCAGAGCCCTGGTGCTGACACTGAACAGAACTGGCTTGTCTGATCTGTCACAGAAGCCTTTTGGCTACCAGTTACAAGCTCGCACGTTAAACGATGAAAATCAAATCGGCCCCGTCAACAATTTGCTTGAAAGAAAACCGTCGGCTGAATGAGAGGCAGAAGCCTTATAGAAGAAGTCTCCTTGCTCTCTGGTGTGTGCCAATAGCCTCCCCATTTAAGGAAGGCTCTAAGTTAAGTTGTGATGACTAAAAGATGTGCTTTATTTTTGCTTTTTAAAAAAAAAAAGACAAGTTAGGTGATCGTTACTATCATTGCACTGTCGTAATCGACGTCTTCAGAGCTTGTCGTGGGGAAGGGTTGGAAGCGTGCTGCAAATTGCACTGTAACAGAAAACAGTATCATCGCTTAAAATAGCTCCATCAAAAAGATGAGTGTTCAGCTATTTCTAGTGCTGCTGGTGAGAGATGAGACATACAGTATTGAAGAGATGCCTGAGGTCGGATTGATTGCTTTCCCAGTGGCTCGTGGTTCACTTTCCGGCCCCTTCGTGTACCCTATAACTTGTGCTGTGCTCTTTTTCGCTTGGATTTTGTAGCGCTGGCAGACGTGGTAGCTTTGCCGTGTGTCTGGGCTGGGGAAGCTCAGCTTCCAGCCTTTTCCAGCATGTTGGTTCATGTCTGCCACCTCTCTTGTGGATTGATCCAGATTGTTTTGTGGCTCAGAGACAGACGATGGAAGGCGATGGACCTCTTTGGTGCGCGGAGGCGGCTGGAGTGAGAACTCCCTGCTTGTCTGCGCGGAGATTTCCCCGCCCGCCCTGCTAGCCCCAGCCAGAAGGAGCCACATAGGGAAGGAAGCTGCAAGCCACATGTTGAGTGCTGCAGGTGTACAGCTAGGGATGGTGAAGTCCCAAAGGGTTTTAATGCACTAAACAGCCTCTACTCTGTTTCCTTTCTCTCCAGGAGGAAAATATTTGTTTGCACTGGGCTGCTTTTTCTGGCTGTGTTGACATAGCGGAGATACTGCTGGCTGCCAAGTGTGATTTACACGCGGTGAACATTCACGGGGACTCGCCCCTGCACATCGCGGCCAGAGAGAACCGCTACGAGTGTGTCGTGTAAGTACGGCTCCAGCCCCCACTTCCCTCCCGTCCCTGGTCACTCCTTCCTCTCCCAGTGCTGGCTGGCAGGCTCGGGACATCACTGAAATGCCTTCGGTGTTTAAGCACAAACCAAAAGTGGGATGGAGGGGTTGTTTCTCCGCTGCCCTGTTCCTAGGGCCGGTGGGTCTGAAGTACCAGCTGCTGCCAGAGCTGGTATAAAAAAAAAAAGGTCAGAAAACACTGGGTGGTCATGGAGTCTTGGGCAGAGGGCTCGAGGGGCTGTGCTCAGCCTGGGCTTCCCAGCAGAAAGGCGTCAGGCGTCCTTGATTAAAGCTTTTTTTTTTTTTTTTTTACAACTAGTGTGGCATAATATGATAACAGGGCTTTTCCTTTGCTTCATCACTGCTATGAATAAAGTCATCATGTGTACTCACCAAAAGCTGGTGAGTATAAACAAGGGCCAAATCCAATACCAGTTTCCCGTGGGACTCTTCCATTTCCAGCCTACTCTTCCCACCCCATATCTTTCCCTGCCAGAGAGAGTTTCAAGCCTGTCTGAAGTTAGGCTGGTACCAGCATGGTACTTGTCATGCCTGAAGCAAGGCGAGGTTTGCCCAGAGCTCTCGTGAGCGCCTAGAGCTCCAGTCTGTGGCTTCTGCCAACACCTTCGCGTAGAAGGATTCACTGAACCATGCTTAATAAAGAAAACTCAGGTGATTATTCACTACTGCAGATTCTTCCTTGTCCCGTAAGGGCTGGCTGGAGGATGTGATTCAGCTCATTTTCCCCTTGCGCGGTTTCTCTTGGGGAATGCTTATCCTTTCTTGCTGTTTTGCAGTCTCTTTCTTTCCCGTGGCTCGGATGTCACTTTAAAGAACAAGGAGGGTGAGACCCCACTCCAGTGCTCCAGCCTTAACTCTCAGGTCTGGGTGGCCCTACAGATGAACAAGACTCTCAAAGAATCATCTACTGACAAGCCTGCCCAGATAGAGAAGGTTGTGAGCAGGTGAGAATATGGTTGGCTTTGCTTATGGGTCATGAAATAGAGCTTGTGCACGGGGTGGGCTGGGGCCCTGGTTTAAGAAAGGACTGTGAGTGCCTGCTTAGCTTTTTAAACTGGTGTGAAGGTCAGTTTGAGCTTAGCAAGAACTAAGCACGTGCTGATTGAGACCGTGGTTTGTAAATTCATCCTCCAAATGGAAATATTCGCCAACACAAAGACCAGTCTGTAAGGCAGGGTGGAATAAAAATGAACTCTGTTCTAATCTGAATTGCTTTCAGGCTTTGAATGCTCAGTGATCAAAGACAGTAATTCTGCCCCAGGATGGCATTTGAATGACCCCATGTTCGGGGGAGCTTTTCTTCTGTGACAATTCTCTTTCTCCCACCGACAGAGACATCGCCCGGGGTTACGAGCGGATCCCGATTCCCTGCATCAATTCAGTGGACAGCGAGCCTTGTCCTAGCAACTACAAATACGTTTCGCAGAACTGCGTCACCTCCCCGATGGACATTGATAGAAACATCACTCATTTACAGGTGAGGGATCCTGTGGTTTTCCCTGTCCTGGTGTACACATTCAGGGATGTTGCAGGCGACTGCAAATCAGAACAGGTTTTGCATTCAGAATGAGAATGTCTAGTCCTAGTATTGCCATCAAATTCCTGCTAAGGCTGTAGTCCTGAACTCCAGCTCTTGCTCTAGGAGATGGGATTCTGCTTTTCTTCCTTTCTGAGGCTTAAGCTAACCTCTGTTCAGATGTGTGTTGTAACATCAGCCATCTGGTGCTGGCTGATGTGGCCCTCATTTATCCTTTTCCTCTGTTCTGTATCTGGAGAGTTAGTGAGTTGTTTGGAGACCTTCCTCATGCTGTCTTCTTCTGACTGCAGCATCCAGGCCAAGGTCTTCATTGTGATACTGGAAGTCCTCAAAGGTCTGGGTTATGGAAGCAGAGGTGGGGAAGCGTAGGGTGAGGGTGACCTTTCTCTGGGCACAGCTCTGAGCTGGCTGAAGTGAACTTCCCATGCCCAAACCCTGTTGTGAAGCAGCTGGTGGTGGGACCGTGTTGGTTCGGGGAGTGCTGGGGAAGCAGCCAGCTGGAGCAGCCGTGTGGGAAGAAGCAAGTAGCAGGGGAGGACTGAGACATCACGTCGCGTCATCTCCCAGCTCTGGTACCTCCTCGGAGCTTTCCTTGTCCTCGAGCGTGGGGTACAGCTCATAGGGCATGGGGGAAGGTTAGTTAACACGAAGGAACATCTTTTTATGAGAAAGGAAGATGGTTCAGTACGGGATCCTTTCCTGCAAGCCGGAGTACTTTGACGTTCGTTGCACGCAGAAATAAATAATGGAGTAAAAATGCCACTGAACCGATGAGGCTGGTTGTCTTTCTGACTAATGAGCTGCAGCTGCAGAAGGCGAAAACTTGTGGTTTTCTCTGCGACCCAGTCACAGAAGTTGCTCTTTCAGTTACGTGTGAGTGGTGTGGAGTTAACTCCTTTCCTTCTCTTCCAGTATTGTGTTTGTATAGACGACTGCTCCTCCAGTAACTGCATGTGTGGCCAACTCAGCATGCGCTGCTGGTATGACAAGGTGAGGACACCGAGCCCCGTGTCGGGCTAGATCCGTGTTTGCCAGCTGAACTTTCCGCAATCCAGAGTTTATAAGAGTACTAAAACCAGTTCCTTGCACAGCTCCTCTACCTTTTGTTTTAAAATGCCTAAAGCTGTAGTCGCAGCTTTGAGGCGTGTGTGATAATAACAAAATATGTACTCGGGGAAGCTTTTCTGGTGGTGTTTATTTGTGTTACTGTCATGCCAACTGGGCCATTAATTATACCCATGTGATAGAGGGCATTTAATAATCCATGCGTGAAATCAACTTCCATTTCAGTAGCAAATGCTGTAATATATAAACAAGGGGAGGGTAGTAGGGGAGGTTTCTGCCTGCTTTTATTTATTGTGATCCTCCCGGATGAAGGCAAAGTAAAGATGTTTTAACTGCAGCATCGCCTGAAGCCTGGTTTGTTTTGGGTAAGTATGCTTCAGTCCTCCAGGGAGGTTTTGAGGTTAATGTTTGGACAGGTTCTGCGAAGATCAGAAGTTCTGTGAATCTCTGCAAGTTTCTCCCAGGGGGAGTATTGGCACCTTTCTTTGCTTTGTAGCCGTTTTGTTTGCACGTTAATGAGTGATTACACATTTCAAGCCTCAAAAGCCAAATTTGTTGAATATGATGAACCGCGTCTGTCGCTTCCTTAATCCTGTATGGTTGGTAAATTACTGAATTGTAGCTTTTTAGGGAGTGTTGTTTGGGAAGATAACGTGGTTCACAGAACTTGAGTGTTCTGGCCTTGTAGTCTGGAATTTTAGGCTTTATTCCAGAGGCAGACTAAGCATCCGCTTCTCCCCTCCAGCACTGCAAAACGATAATACTGATGATGCACACCGCTTTTTGCATGGCACCGTAAGATATCTTTTTTGGTGGTGCGGTGGGTGATGCCAGGCAGCAAAAACCTAGACGGTCTGTTGCTGTTCGTCAGCTGTTGGTGATAGTGGCGAGTGCATCACTGTCGGGGTGGAGCAAAACCACTGCAGAGGTTGAGGTCTGACGCTGGTTTTGGGGAGGTCGGGACATGCCTTCACCTTGGGATTCTCTGGCCTGTTTTTACACGTGGGGGAATTTCTGCTCTTGGCCTGCCTCTGGAATAGACAACTAACCCAGTCTTGAATGCCTCTCCTCTTCAGGACGGCCGACTCCTGCCGGAGTTCAACATGGCTGAGCCGCCGCTGATCTTTGAGTGTAATCACGCGTGTTCGTGCTGGCGAACCTGTAGGAACCGGGTGGTGCAGAATGGGCTCAGGTGAGAAGGAGGACCCAAACGCAGGTTCTCTTGGAGACACCAACAGCTAACTCGTGAGCTTTCTGGCTCTCCAGTGTCAGCTCACCCATAAACCCGCAAAAACCCAGTACTTTCTGAGATGAGACAGAAGTTGGGGCAGGTGCCACTGCACCATGGTGGGATGCAGGCAGGTTGCTCTGCTCTGCTGGTGGGAATGAAGCGGCAGCGGGTTGATGACTCAATATTTGCACCCTGCCCCTGCCGCCGTCACGCGGGAGCTGCGGCGTTCTTTCATCTGCCTTATCCTAAAACATATAAATGGCTTGTGGGTTGGCATGAACAGCCTGGATGTAACTTCTCATATGAGATCTCTGAAGAAAATAACAGCAACAGAAACTGCAAAGCCTTAATTTAGAAGATATGGTAAGCTAGCAGTCTGTATTAGAGATATAGGCCAGTGTGCACAGACTTGGCTGCTGAAAGTTTCCAAGTTATTGGCATGAGTGCCCCTGAATTGGGTACCTGAACGAAGAACTGTTGGCCTCGCTGCTGTAGGTTAGGCCGTTACGGTTTTGGTGCCAGGCTAAAAATGTAAATGTTTTGTATTGGTCCTCTGCTATGGAGAAGTTTGCCGCTGCGCTAAATGTATCAGGACAAACTTCAAAGGAATCCTGCTGGAAAAAAGACTTCTGCAAATTTTTTGTAGGCCCAACAACACTTTTTTTTGCAAGCTTTGTAGTTTCAATGACATTTTGCAACGTTAAAAATAAGTAAGGAAAAGGCTCGATGCGTTTCAACAGAACTTTACCCCTCTCTGGTTTTCCCTGCCAAGCTCCAGAGCTCCGGTGTCTACGTGGGTGTTTATTTAGGAGCTGTACAGCTAGAGCTGTTGCTTTTGCATTTTTGCCTTGCTTTAAAAGCGTTTTTCTGGAAGATGGGAAGGGTTGGAAACCCAACCTTGAGCCTGGGAGAGTGGCTCTGTCGGGAAGCTGGCACTAAGGGCAGGTGCTTGGCAGGGCTGTGCCTGATGTCCCTGGGGAGGCACCGGAGGAAACCTCCTGCGCTTGGGCTGCAGCGTGACACATGGGTGCTCCCGCTCCGTTTTCAGTACTTCCTTTATCAGATTTGCACCAAATTAACTCTGCTCGGCAGCGCACACGTTTCCATCTGGCTGACTGACCCAGCTTGGCCGGGAAGCGGAGATCGGAGCCATGGTCCTGCTGCTGCCCGTGTCATTCCTGAAAGCAGAGCCTGAACCTGAACCTGAGCTCGGCGGTCTGCTCTGCTGTGATGGACGAGGTGGAACATGGGGGCCCTTCCTCAGATCTGAAATACTGGTTTCTCTGAGAGCCATCGTTCTCACCAAGTCCTGTTTTGCCTTGGTGAAGGCTGTGGGAGCTGTGAGCAAACACGAGAAAACACGCAGCCCCTGGTTCGAGCTGACGGTGCAAGGAGGGAAGGGGTGGGGGGAAGAGGAGAAAAGTACTGGAAAAGCAACAGGGTGAAGTTCAGGTGAGCATTGGCTTGCTCTGTATTCCGGTAACAGCGTTGCTGAGAGTGGGTTTTGGTTCCCTTGGGGACAGAGCGAGCCTTCCCTAGCCCTGGAGACTGTTCATCCTGCACTTAACTCAAGTTCTGGCTGAGCAGGAGGCAGAATGACTTACAGGATTGTTTCTCTGCCTATAAACTCCATCAGTAAAATTCCACAGAGCAGCTATTACACCAAGAAGTTTCAAGTTGCAGCGTTTCTTCCTTGTCTTTCAGCCAGGGAGTTGGATATGATGGAGTTGCTAAATGCACTGGCCTCAGCAGAGGGCAAAGGGATCAGAGCACTTAGCTCAAGGTGTTCTTAATTCACCGTAAGCTCCCTGCCCTTCCCCCTGCAGCACCCATCCCTGCAGAGCTACGCTGCCTTAAGTCCCCTTCCACCTTCCCTGCCTTCCCCTGCGTGCTGAGTGTGTGCATGGAAGGGAAAAGAAATGCCGGTGGTGGAATTCTGGTATCCTACATGTAGATCATCAACAGCGTAACCACACAGAGCATCCAGTCCTGAACCCTCTTCCCCAGTCCTTAACATGTCCAGCACCTGGGTGTGCCAGGTGCTGCTGGGCAGGGAGAAGGGGTTGATGGGTGCCCGTCCCTTGTCCCCAGGCAGGTCCCACCCGAGCATCTGCCCGCACGCTCAGAGCAGCAGCGAGAGTGGAGCGTACCCACAGTGGTGCCAGAGTGAGAACTCAGGGGGGCTGACTGTTGAAATCGTTTTTGAGTTTGTGCTGATGGAAGGTTGCTGGATTTTTTGCTCATCTCTCTACGAAAATGTGTTTTCTTTCTGTGGAGTTGCTGCAACTAACGTGGCTTCATTTCCTCTTTTCCAGGACTCGATTGCAGCTTTATCGGACACAAAAGATGGGCTGGGGTGTGCGAACAATGCAAGACATTCCACTGGGAACCTTTGTGTGCGAGTAAGTTCTTCAGCTTTCGTTAGCTCACACAAACGCATCGCTTCCCCAGGGCCGCCATGGTTTGCTCCTCTTCATGGGGAGGTTTTCATGCAAATGAAATTGGCATCGAGCCGAGCTGCTTGCCCTTAGTCCGAGGTTTCCTGACTCCACTTCCTGTTCTGTTTGTCCTTTTCCTCATAGCGTGGAGCTTTCTCCACCCCTCTCCGTCTCGCTGGGATCTGCTCAGCTCTGCTACCCCTCTGAAACACCAAGCAATGGGAGAAAAACACGTTTGGGTTGTGCTGCAAATGCGCTCAACTCACGTGTTCGCCCTGGATGTGGGACACTTAAGGCCAAGGCAATTTGGAACAACTTTTTCGTATTGAATCTTTTTCAATACTGACTTCTCAAGAGGTTTTCCAGTGTCACAGCTCTGGCTTTGGTCTGATTCAGCAAAATGGTAAAGCCCTTGGCGTTAAGCACATGTTTCGGCCCTGATTCAATAAAGTACTTAAGAACAAAAATGTTCAGATTTATGTCAGGTGAAAAAACTGCTGTCAAACCCCACAGGTTTTAGGCTTTAAAGTGGTATATGTACTTCATTAAATATTTCGGAAAGTGTTTTCTTCATCGCAATACTACAGTAAGTTAAGACCTTCCAAAGAAGGCTGAACTCATGCCCTTCATGGAAATAGGTGCTCAGGTTTTTTAGAACTGATTATTGAAGTTTTATAGAATTGGGGTGGGGGATTGAGGAAGGTTATTGCAGAATTTAAAAAGAAAAAAAAAAAAAAGAAGGAAAAGAAAAATCTGCAGTGAATCAGCCAAGTATTTCTTCCATGTTAGGAGCTGCCAGATGATAAAATGTTTTCAGAGGTGAAGCTTAGAACTGCTGTTTGTGGGGAGCGTCTCAAGTCTGCCTTCAGGTGGCAGGAGGCTTCTGGAGGCTCTGGGGGGACCTTATAGCGGTCTTCCAGTACCTCAAGGGGGCTTACAAGAAAGATGGGGAGAGGCTGTCCAGGAGGGCCTGTTGTGATAGGACAAGGGGTAATGGTTTTAAAATAGAGGGAGGTAGATTCAGATTGGATATTAGGAAAAAATTTTTTACCGTGAGAGTTTTAGAACACTGGAACAGGTTGCCCAGAGAGGTGGTGGATGCTCCATCCCTGGAGACATTCAAGGCCAGGTTGGATGAGGCCCTGAGCAACCTGATCTAGTTGGAGATATCCCTGTTTGTTGCAGGGGGGTTGGACTAGATGACCTTTGAAGGTCCCTTCCAGCCCTAACCATTCTATGATTCTATGATTCAGGTGGGGCTTTCGGTGAAGTACCGAAGGTCCCGTGTCCTGGTTCAGCACCCAGGGATGAGCCAGTGCCCGCGAGTAAACTGCTCCCAAAGCAAAAAGGCACTGGCTTCACCAAATCCTACTGGAACACTAACATGTGAGAGGAATAAGCAGTGGTGACCAGGCAGCCCTGCACGATGGTGTAATTCACACAGGCACGTAGCAGAGCATGTGCAGATACCACAGCCGTGCTTGACTCTTCCCCTCGCCCTCGCCAGGCGCTGCTGACGTGGTTTCCGTGGTAGGCACGATCTTCATTATCTAAATGGGCTGTGTACTAAAAAGCTGAGCTGATTGATGTCTTGCCCGTGCATGTTCCTCCTTGTCTCCATCACTCACACACGCACATGATGTTTACTCAGCTCACCAACTCGCAGTCCTCCTCTCCTCAAGCCATCTGCACCGATGTCCTTCCCGTGATTTTATTATGGGCAACCTGTAGATTTGGTTTCTTCTTTTCCTCATTTCTGGCAAAGAAGCCCCGGTGCCAGCGGTGCTCGGGGGCTGCTTGCACATAGCAGCTCCCGGGATCGGCTCTTGTGGAAGAGCATTTTGCATTTTTTCCAAAATTGATCCATTAAACATCTGGATTAGAGCCCTGAGCAGGTGTCACTTTGTACGGCGGTTATTACTCTGCTTTGGAAGGATGATAATTGTTTTGGTGTAAGGATGACTTTTATTCCATAATTTTTCACGCATGCCTGCGTGGGGGGCAAACCTGGAATAGTTCTCAGCACCACTTTCATGTTGCAAAACTCGGCTGGTCCTGACTGTTTCTGGGTGTAAGTGCCTTTCTTACACCCGTGCTGCTTTTCAGCCTGCTCCGTCACTTCAGATACCTTTCAACTTTTCCCTGTAATCGCTCCAAAACTGTTTTCCCTTTCCATTTCTGCTTGCAGACTGTCCCTCTGGCAGCCCGCAGCAGCTTCTGCAGGGAGCATTTAGCAGCGCTCCGAGCAGTTTGGCAGCTGGGAGCGAGGCTCTGCCAGCACGGTGGCCAGCCAGCCCTCCCACCATGGTCCCCACAGCTCCCCACACCCCAGTGGCTCCCGACCCTTCAGCTGCTTTTCAGCTGCCCCCACCCCTCCCACTAACGGCCTCCGGTACCTTCAGCGCCGTTCTGGCAGCTGCAGCTTAGTGAGGGGAGATGCAGCAGTGTCACCCTCCCTGCCCCACTGGGCTCCCACGCAGTTTTTAGGCTCTTCCACTCGCGGATGCTCAGGAGTGTGCTCGTGTGCAGGTTTCTCCCTGGCCTCCGAATTCGTCGCTGCTCCGAAGTTGGGGTTGCTCGCCCTGTGCTGACGTTGCTGTGGGTTGTTCTGAAGCTCCTCGTTCCGTGCTTGGTTGGTAGATGGTGTATCTGCTCGTTCTGGAAATGGCACAGCTGGTTAAGGGCTTTTATTGGAGAGGCTGTGAGTTAGTGGGAAGCAGAAACCAGAGGTTCGTGAGGATCTGGTCTGTTCCTTTTGGTGCATGTCTATTTTGTGGTTGCCAAATATTTCATTGCTGTACAAAACAGTGATGCTCTAGTCAGATGCCATCTGCAGCGAGCCAGGTATTCTAGCCACACCTTTAGCTGGGCAAGCCCCAGGCATCCCATCTCCCACACCCTGTGGAAAACACTGGAGCCTGTGCTGGGGACTTCTTGTTGCTCCTGATTTTTGCATGGAGCATGCTCGGATCTTGCAGTGATGAGTGGCAGTGTGAAGCTCTGAGATGTGGTTACCTGCCATCAGGGTGCTGAGCATCTCGCTGAGAAGAAAGATACTGGCTTGGCTTCAGGAGTCCTTAAATGAAGGGGCTGATGCTCCTGCTCTTTTTTGGGTAGGAAAATGCACCTCTTGCACATCCTTCCCTAACTTTGGATCTGGGAAATCAGGGAACCATTTGTTTCGGTAAGCAGTCCTGAAAAGAAGATGAGTTACAGGAATAGTCTTTAAAGGAACATCAAAACAACCATTTGTAATTAGATTGTGGTTTTTTGTTTCGCTGAGTGGTAAACCCGAAGTGGCTGTCCCTGAGCAGAGTGCTTCTCCGTGCAGCGTTATTCAGCCGTTTCTCAGCTGCTGCTGGCTGCTGTGCCGTGCTACAGCGATTTCTCTCCCTCTCTGGCCATCATCTTCCTCTTGCTTTAGGTCACCAACGAGCGTGTGATTTCCAGTAACGCCGCAGCCTTACGGGAGCGCTCAATAAGTAACAAGGTGCGGTGGGGGCACACAGGAGGGTCGCCCGCGGCGGCAGCCTCCTGCTCTGGCAGAGCCACTTGGCCACATCGCTCGGATTGGGGAGCTGCAGCCAAACGATCCCGCGTCACGGAGCGCGTGGGTCCTCTCCAGGTTAACGTTTCGTGACTCTCCTCTTCCTCAGCCCTGGAGTCAAATGCTGCCTTGAGCCACAGGGGAAATGGATACTGTTGGTTCACACGCTGAAGAGGCCTGGAGAGCTGCAGGGGAATGCTGTTGTAACGGCTGCTGGTCGTGGAAGTCTGTTGATGCTGCAAAGAATATTTTTTTGTATTGTGAATCCTTTGCTTATAATTAATTAGCATTGCTCTAAAGGCTGGGAAGACTTACATACCGACATCTACTGCGCTGTTGCTTCTTTCTCATATCTTCCCTCTGGCTCAGTACCTCTCCTCTTGTGTCCTTTTGATTGCAAGCATCTCAGGGCAGGAAACATTGAACCTTGACGATCTAGAACTGCTTAAGGCAGAGACAGGGGCACCAGTGCAGCAGGATGCCTGCAACAAGGTGGTTTGCATCAAAACCAGCATCTGCCTGGAGTGTGAAGGGTGGTGCCTGTATTTAGTCCGGGCACTGAGCAGCACGTGCTTCACGGTGCTTGGAGGACCTGGTAATGTGCCTCGCACCAGGTTTTGCAACAAGGTGGCTGTTACGCGGGTCACGGCTCTGATTTATTCTGGTTCGAGAGTGAGAAGAAAAGAAACTTGGATCCTGCCAGGGATCCTGCCAGGTTAGGTTAGACCTAAGACTTTTGAAACAAAACTTTTTAAGATATGTAACCGATCGAAGTACCCTGGAAAATATAGGAAGGACAGAAACAAACATTTTGCATTGGGTTGTAAACAGCACAAGCGTTGCAGTGGTGTAGAGGAGAGCCAGGACGTGGCTGAGTCTGCTCCATGAACATAAGGAGAATTGGATTAATGCGTTGGTCTTGGCCAACAAAGAGGTTTGCAAAAAGAAACATAGTCCTCGGGAAAAGTAAATTTTGTTGGAAGTAAGACTCCGTTTTTCATGTGAACAGTACTGCCCTGAAAAGACTGAGTTTGGGGCCAGATTTTGGCTGCTGTGAGCTGGCAAAGCGCGGTTTGCCCGGGTGGTTACGCACGGCCAAGGCTGTAGGTTGCCGTCTGAAGCTCGGCTCTATCCCTTTCTTTCCCCTCTTCCCAGAAAGACCTGTTTAACCCCCCAGCTTGTGGTTGCACGAGCATCTTATTTCTGCCTTTCCTCTTTGTCTGCAGGTACGTCGGTGAGCTGATATCCGATTCTGAGGCCGACGTCCGTGAAGAGGACTCCTACCTCTTCGACCTTGACAACAAGGTACCGTATCCGAAGGGGTCTAATGAGACAAACCCAAGGCCTTGCTTCTCCAAGTGAGCCGAGGGAATATTTGTCTCCGTCTTGACGTACAGCACGGTCTGAAAGCCTGCAAAGAGGAGGACCGCGTCCTCGCTGCGTTTTAATCCAAATACAGAGTGGTGGAGGTCAGGCTTTAGGGCTTGTTAAAAGGGCAGCAGAGCCCAGCAGCGCTGGGCCACCATGGCTCGTGCTGCCCACACCAGTGCCGATGCGAGATGCTCTTCTGGCAAAACCCTTTGGGCATCCCGAGTTCAGGTGTTCAGTTTTTGATGCTCAGGTGTGCATGTGCAGGCTTGTGGCTGCGCTGATGGGCAGCTCTGTAAGTTCTTCATAAAAACATGAGCTGGAAGACTGAAAAAACCCTGTTCACTTGCAAAGGGATCCGTCAGACACCCTGGCAGGGACCTGAGGCTCGTTCTGCTGGTAGTTACCCCGCGCTGCTCTGCGAAGGGCTGTCTGGGAGCAGAAATCTTGCTTTGAAAAGTGCAATCTAAAGCTTTTAAGCAAGACCATCACTTCAGGCTTTCCTTGAGGGAGGAGAAGAGGAGAAAGGTGAGCTGGGGACTCGGAGAAGTGGGGTAGCTTCCAAGGAAAGCTGTAAAACAGTCTCTGTCTTGGTTCTGTCATCAGCAAGAAGCTTTGCTTTATTTTTGTGCCTTTTTTTATTTTTTTTTTAAAACAACACACATTCAGCAACTGAAAAAAAGACAAGTAATGAGTCTTGTAGTCGGGCTGAAAACAGAGGGGTCAAACTCTAGTTAAGAAGTTGAAAAGCAGCAGGGACTTCCACCTGGTTTGTGTGTTTATGAGCAAGAGCCTGCCTGGGCCTTGCCTTGCCTCTAAGTTAGCCCCTGGCTGGCTACTTTGAGGGAGAACCTCTGCATTTGCTCTTCTGAAGCCCTCAGTGGAGCAAGGAGGGAGACCTCAGTACAGGCACAAGCACGTCATCTGTTTTCATGGAATCTTCAAAGTGGTGCATCTGTAGAAAAGCAGGCACCAAGTCGTTGAGCGCTCGTTCAGAGGAGCCCATCGGGATGGTGGCGGAGGGCAGGGCAGAGCCAGCCGGGTCCCGCGGCCTCCTGAGCGATGGGAAATGATTGAGGGTGTGCACCCCAACCCTGGGAGGGGCAGCCTTGGGGTCCTGCTGTGTGTTGAAGGAGTGGCTCGCATGGACTCACGTTGCAGTGAAAGAAAGTGGTGAGGACGTCGTTTGTGATGTGGCTGTACCTTGAGTTGTCACTCAAGGCCACGTGCGTGGTGCATCGTTCAGCGTGCCAGGTCCTGCAGCCACATCCCGTCCCGCGTCTGAACATCGAGCAGCCAGAACTTGCTGCCATTGCTGGGGTTCCGGGGAGGGAGACGTGGCACAGCAGATGCTCTCTGGGTTTCCACTGGTTAACGGGATGGTTTCCTTGTCTCTGTACTGGAGAGCTGGAAAAAACACGCTGTTTCTGGGAAATTCGAGGATGAGTTTTAGCTACTGTGGTTTTCTGTTCATGTTAAGCCACCCGTTCCCCACGTGCAGGCCCATCCTCTGCAGTCCTTGCTCGCGCCCTTGGCCCTGCTCCGCTCCGTCGGCGGGAGGCGGCAGTTGGGGCTGGCCCCTGCTCTCTCCGTGTGGCCTCTGCCTGCCCGCAGGCAGGAGGGGCTTTCTCTGAGCATCCTCCCTTTTGAGAAACCCTGGTGCCTTCCCGCTCTTGAGAAGGAGCCTCCTCTCACCCCAGAGCAGGTTCATGGTTTCTCCTCTTCTTCTCTGCTTGCCACTGTGTGACTCTTGGCTCCCGATCCCCTCGTGGCAAGGTGGGAAGCAGGTTTGGGACAAGCTCTGGGCCTTGTTCTCAGCAGCTTTACAATGAGGACGCTGCCTGTATTGGTCAAGGCAGCAGCTCCTTTCCTGAGAAACACATCTTGACTTGCGTGGTGGAGAGCTTGGATGGTTCCAGACGGTCACTAGACGTGGTAGTGGGTGCTGTCCTCACCAACCACGGCGTTTCCATGGATAGAAGCGAGAGGGTGATGGGAATTACTTAAACTTGCAATTAGAGCCAGTGAGGCTGTGTGTGATGTGGGCCCATGTGGGGTGACACTTCACCAGGTCGGTGGGACATCTTCCCTGAGCTCCTGCACCGGTGGGGCCTGTGATCTGGCACAGCCCGTCCATTAACGATGGCGAGGTGCTTGCCCAAAAGGGACTTTGAGCACTGCTAATGGATGCTTTTGCTTTTGGCCTCTTTGCAACTGAAATTAGCTTCTGTAATTAAAGTCTCTGCTTTGCACAGTCATTCTCTGCTGGAATAAAAAAGCCCTGAGGGGGGTTCTTTTCTTTTCAAGGAAAACAAAATTCTACTGCTCTCTGGAAAGGGAATTTCTGTGTTCTCACTTTCACTTTTATCTGCAAAAAACTGTTTTCTTGAGGCTCTGGCTTTGTGTTTCCCAGCTGTCATGTTCAATTAGAGGACAGAACAGATGCCCATGCCCCTGTCCAGTGGCTTTTACCCATAAGGTGTTTGCACCAAACATCAATGCCACTACGCCAAACTGGTGCTTTGGCTGAGCAGGGCTGGGGAGAACCAGGGTGCCCGCCAGCACCGGCAGTGTTTTAAAATGTCCTGGTTGTTGTTCTTCTTGAAGCTCTCCAGAGTTGTAGTGGAATGACCAATAGTTTGGTCATTTATTTTGTTTCAACAAGTAGCAGTAATAATACTAAATCCAACTTCATCTAATGAAAGATGCAATGTTTCTCCTCCAGGATGGAGAGGTGTACTGCATAGATGCCCGTTTCTATGGCAACATCAGCCGCTTTATAAACCACCTCTGCGAGCCAAACCTCATCCCGGTGCGAGTCTTCATGTCGCATCAGGACCTCCGCTTTCCCAGGATCGCCTTCTTCAGCACGAGGCATATAGAAGCTGGAGAAGAAATCGGGTACGTGCTGTCCCCAGGGCTGCTTTTCCCACAGGGAGCCACTGTGGGAAGGCCTCGGTGGAGAGGGACAAAAGCTCTGCTGCTCCTGAGCTGGTTCACTCCATCCGCAGCCAGCAGGTCAAGGGAGGGGCTGGAGCACCTCTGCTATGGAGACAGGCTGAGAGAGTTGAGGCTGTTCAGCCTGGAGAACAGAAGGCTCCGGGGAGACCTTCTAGCAGCCTTCCAGTGCCTAAAGGGGCTACAAGAAAGCTGGAAAGGGGCCTTGGACAAGGGTGTATAGTGACAGGACAAGGGGCAATGGCTTTAAACTGAAAGAGGAGAGATTTCAATTCGATGTAAGGAAGAAATTCTTCCCTCTGAGGGTGGGGAGGCACTGGAACAGGTTGCCCAGAGGAGTTGTGGCTGCCCCATCCCTGGCAGTGTTCAAGGCCAGGTTGGAAGAGGCTTTGAGCAACCTGGTGTAGTGGAAGGTGTCCCTGCCCATGGCAGGGGGGTTGGAACTAGATGATCTTTAAGGTCGCTTCCAACTCAAAACCATTCTACGATTCTGTGTTTCTATGATTTACTCCCTGCGCCCTGTCCCCAGGGTCCCCTGGGGATCCCACAAACACCCACCACCCGCTGAAGCTTTGCAAAACCCCGGACGGT